TAGGTTTAGTTATATTATTCACACGTATAATCTCGCCAAAAATCTAGTTACACTGCTTAGCTGTGTTATCAAGTCAAAACACAAAATTTAATTTTTTGCATCTGCTATGCAATGAAAAGACACAGTTACTTTTTTACATGTGTTATGAAGTCAAAAGACGCAGCTACATCGTTTTGCGTCATATTCAAGCAAAAGATACAGTTACATTGTTTACGCGCATCATGCAAAAAAATATACAGTTACATTGCTTACGCGCATCATGCAAGAAAAAGATATAGTTACACTGTTGACGCGTATCATGCAAGAAGCTACAGTAGCGTTGTTTACATGTGTATTGCTCTCTAAAGTATAGTTGCACAGTTTAATATAGTTATGCAGTCAAAGGACTCAGTTGCAATGTTATGTGTGTTATGAAGTCAAAAGACTCAGTTGCATTGTTTACATATGTTATGCAGTTGAAAAACACAGTTACATAGTTTACATATGATACATAGTCAAACACACAGCTATATTGCTTACATGTGTTATGCAATCAAAAGGCTTTAGGCTGTTTACGTGTATTATGTAGCCAAAAGTTAGAACTACAATGTTACCCTTTTAATGCAGTAAAATAGCATATTGAGATGGTTTACGCATGTTAAGCAGGGAAAAGATACAGTTACATTCGTCACATGTGTTATGTAGTCTCGATATACAGATACATCAATTAAAGGTGTTATGTAAACAAACGATAGTTACATTGCTTACACGTGTAATGTACCCAAATTATACACTTACACTCTTTGTGAACTAATGTTTATTTTTAATTCATGATAAAGAATATGCAGATGAGCCACGTAAACGTTAAGAGAATCAGCTAAATAAATCGCATGCATTGTAAACTTTCAAATATATGTTTAGTTTCTTGGTTGCAGGAACAGATTAATCCAGTTCTTACTCGAAAAACTACTTATACAGCCACTGTTTAACCAACTGAGATAAAGTTACTTGACAGAAACAATTTATTTGAGCTCTTTTTATAGAAGCACGCTTAAACTGAACCTTTAAAGTCAAAATGTTCCTTTGGATTGCTTTAATTTTTGTTTCTTCCGTAACTTTAATGGAAACTATGTTCCGATAATATTAGTTCCAACGACTTTTATGACAATAAATCTTAACACAACTTCGATTGTTTAATAAATTTGGGAACATTAAATGTGCGTGAGATTTCATACAAATAGACATGTTATGTTTCGTTGTTGTTAAGCACAAAGTTACTGTATTGGTTATCTATATTGTGCGAACAACGGGTATTAAAACCAGGTCTTTAGCGTTATAAGCCTTCAAACTTTGCGCTGAGCCACAGGGAGAGAGGGGGGGGGCAAATATACACGTTATATTTTGCTCATTGTATACAGGTTGAAAAATATCTTGTCTTTTATACCGTCGATTAAATTAAGTCTAATTTCTTAATTTAAATGCCTTGGTAATTCCTATGAAATAAAAATAAACCCTCTTATGAAAAAAGAGTTTCCACATTTTTTCGCTCAATTATTGAAGCAAAGCGAAATAGGCGATAAAAACTATTGTTTTTATTTTTATAAAAGCCCTTGAATCTGAATGAACTGAATTAGCCCTTATTTTAAATATATTATTGTTTAGCAACGTGCACAGATATTAATTTAGTCGGTTTATTGTTGTTTAGCGCAAAGATACACAATAGGCTATCAGTGCTCTGCCTATCAACGGTATCGAAATCCGATTTTTAGCATCGTAAGCCTGCAGAATTGCCGCTGAGCCACTGGGTTTGGCTATCGCTTCTCGTTACCTATAGTTTTCTCTCGTTAGTGTTTGGAAACATTATATTTGTTTGTGAGATATTAATTTCATTGTAACTATTTCATTTAGTAACTAACATTCACATAAAAGTTTAGATATTTTAGATAAATCTATAAGCGTATTTGTTTCAGGGAACCAACATATATGTTTATATAGCTTCTGGTATTTCATATGGTTTTATAAACAGATCCCCACAGCAGTTAATTTTCAGACTCAGATTCATGATGTGACAAAAATTTCATTCTAACTTATCTCGTGATAAACATATCTTTGATTTTTTTTGTTTCAGTTGATTACTGGGATTTATTCTCCAAGAAAATTGATTATTGTTTAATGATTGTTACCAAGTAGTATTTTCTGTCTACTAAGTGTTTTCGCGAGTTCTTGTAAACATAAAGAAACTGGCGAAAGAACTTTGAACTTTAAATCTTTGTTGAGGTACTTTCTCCAATCTCAGTTTCTGGTGGAGGGGAAAAGACCCAGTGCGGTGAATGTAGTAAACACAAATGTTCTCCAATTCAAGAGAAATGAAAGCTTTTTGATGAATAAAACTGTAGGCACCTATGTTTTCCGCTAATTACAAGACCACGCGCCAACACTTGCATTATATAGCAAACACTTTAGGGAATAATATTCGGTATGATCAAGCACTTGCGTTTGAAAGGAAGCTAGCCAATCAGGTAAAGAATGTGATTGGATAAACAGCTGCAGAAGCTTTTTCTCATTTATTGATTACTTAGTTCATGCTGCCGATCCCCACAGTTACTGAGAGTCAGATGTTGTGTTGCTCGTTGCATGTGAAGCCGTGTGTTTGTCTAAAGGTTTTCTCAGAAATTCTTTATCGGGTTTGATTCTGATTTTTGGATAAGTAATAAGGTTCAACCAATGAACAGTCATTTAAGTTATTCTGAAGGAAGGTCAAAGGTAACCGTCACTGCAAAATCCAATGGCCGTTGATTTTACAAAGATTAGTGTCCAGGGGATAGTCAAATACGACAAAAATCAAAGCGCAATTTTAGGTATTTATGTATATTATTCATTAGAATAACTTTTCTTTCAAGTGTCAGTTTTCTTCTGATAAATTTTTCCATCAATTTCTTCTGATTATTTTCTTAAAAAAAGACTAGGTTTAAAGTTGTGATCGTTCTCCATATCCTTTTTATAAAGTTCACGACGTTCAAACAATTTAAAAGCAGTGCCGTAGGCAGGAAAAAATTTCGCGCAAGCGTTTATGTGTATGTATATTTAGGAGGAGACTGGTGAATTTATTTGTTTGTTTGTTGAAGTTCGGGCAAAGCTACACGAGGGCTATCTGCGCTAGACGTCCCTAATTTAGCAGTGAAAGACTAGAGGGAAGGCAGTTAGTCATCACCACTCACCTCAGCTCTTGGGCTACTCTTTTACCAACGAACAGTGTGATTGACCGTCACATTATAACGCCTCCACGGCTGAAAGGGCGAGCATATTTGGTGGGACGGGGATTCGAACCCACGACCCTTGGATTGCGAGTCGAGCACCCTAACCACCTGGCCATGCAGGGCCGAAGCTGAATTTCTTGAAGCTAATACTGAATTTCTTGCTATTCTTTAAAGCAGACTTCTCGAGTACATTTTGAATTGTTACGGTTAAATTCTGAATCAAGTCTTTGAAGTTTAGGGAGAGGTGGGAGGCTAAGTTTGTTCTTTAAGAATACCCAAAAAGAAAGAAAAAAACGTATTACACAGTTTATGTCTTTGTTAGGACATGTGAAAAAACACACACACACACATACACAAAATGTTGCCAGGATATAGACAATAATATTGGGATTTAGAACGCTATGAGCCTAAAATAACTTCTATGTCTTTATGTTGCGTGCAATGAAGACCATTAGACATTATCCACAAATTACACACAAAAAGATAAAATTATCACAAGAATGTGGTTATTTTCCTGTCTCTTTAATGTTATGTAAGCTCTGTTTGGCTAAACTTGAGTCATCAGGTAGTCTATTAACAACTACCAGTCACTTTCACAACTTATTAAACAATGAAATACTCGCCTCGAACGTATAAAAAAGAATAACGATAATTATTCTTTTCAAAAGCTATGTTTAACGAATATTGGTTGTTTATCCAGTTTTTATTACGCCCAGCAACAGGTCCTCTTCGAGTGGTAAACCCAGAAATAAATGAATGAGGAAATTCATAGAGACGAGAATGTTTCTTGTGTCTGTAACAACTCCTTGAATCATCCCGACCAGCTTTGCGTCTGGTGTCCTATGGGGGCGGTATTTTCTGTTTTCTCCTTATACCAGCGATTTCTGCGGTTTATTCGTCGAGCTTGGACTGGAAATACACGTAAGTCACTTTCTTCAACATATCGAAAAATCATATTGAAGTTTATGCTGTGTGCAATTCTGCTGTTGTTGTTGATGAATTTATAATAAAGTGCAAGGCCTTTAAGAATTAATTAGAATGACTTAAATAATTTGAAATTATATATGTTTTTAACGTATGTTTTTAAAGTAACTTATAAGTTAGTATAATTAACCCCTGTTTTTACTTGTTTGTTTGTTGTTTTTTCTTACCTTGATGAAGCATAAGTTTCGAAACAATGATATTGTTGTTTTCTCAGGACTTTATCGACTATTGTTCAATCAAATAATCAGGCCATAAATAAATATATTGTTGTTCTCTCTCAGTGCTTTATGAACTATTATTAAATCAAATAGCTAGTTCATAAATAAAAATATTTGTGAAAGAAACAAATATAATTAGTTACAAAGTTCGTATAATATTGAATGACTTGGTTACAGATCTGGGAGGTTGTGAGGAGAATTATCCACATCTGAACTTGATTTAAATTTAAGTAAATTCGTCTTGCAATATTCGCGGATAAAAATCTATCTGTTAAACGGTTTATCTCTTCCATTGCCTAAACCCTACTTTCCTTCATAACTTTTCGACTGGGGCATATTGGACAGTGTTCATTCTGTTAAAATCAATACAATTATTCTGTAAGTTATAAAATATACTTATTTATTTAGAAATAGTTAACTATGTTTTGTTTACAACCAAGCTGAACGAAATGTTATAATACATCCAGAAAAATAATGAAACATAATGTCAAAAACAAAATGCAAAGTCACTCGTAAGAATAAGGTACTTATATACATGCAAGAATATTAATCGTAAGTATGATATGGATTATTGTGAGTTAAGCCTAATTAGTGTAAAACTTTAATTTAACGCTTTCGTTGTTCGTTCATACAGTAATATATTTTTAATGCTATTGCATCTTCATAGAAATATTACATTTTTTTTATCTTCACAACACTGGCTTCTTAAATTGACGGCACAGACAGATAAATTTATTTTGATCAAAACTTTCAGTCTGATAGTAATTCTATTACTAAATACAGAAATGATTTATAGTTGACACAGTAGTATGAACTGGGTAAAAGTAATAATTGAAATAGTTGTGTAGTTTCAACATTAATCGATAGCAATTACCTGTACCTCCCCAGTCATCAGATTTCCGCATTACTTTGTCGTTTTATAATAACATAATTATTTGGTGAAACAATACAACTTAATTTTATTATAAAATGGCATATGTGTTTTTAAACTAGCAGGTAATTAACTGTAAGGCCTTTCACAATATGGCCAGGTGTTTAGGGCACTCGACTCGCAATCTGCGGGTCGCGGGTTCGAATCCCCGTCACACCAAACATGCTCGCCCTTTCAGCCGTGGAGGCATTATAATGTGGCGGTCAATCCCACTATTCGTTGGTAAAAGAGTAGCCCAAGAGGTGGCGGTGGGTGGTGATGACTAGCCCTCTAGTCTTACACTGCTAAATTAGGGACGGCTAGCGCAGATAGCCGTCGTGAAGCTTTGCGTGAAATTTATAATAAACCAAACCAAGCCTTTCACATTTCAATTTGTTATAAAGTATAAATGAAATAAATAAACTAAAGTTTCGTTTTTTTTGCCTTAGCTTAGTGCATTTACTATAAGTATATAGAAGGCTCACCCCAGGCGTTTTTAGTGAAGTTATAAACTTTTTGTTATGAATTCATCATTAAGCAGATGTAATTCACACTTCGCTGCTATTTAAGACGATATATATTTTATACCACCATCAATATTTTTGAAATTTTTCCGTCCTTAATCATGTATTACATTTTAACATTGAAATAAATTAATGCTTCCAAGAGCTTTCAAGAAACTAAAAAGTATATATAAAAAACTGTCAAACTGTTTATGAAGTTCCTCATACCCGATTTTGTGTTAGAAACACTGAAACAGTGAATAATAGGACTATTTCAGTGGTATAAAGTGGAATATTTTAAAGGCGTCGTTTTCATATTTTCTGTTGTTATCGAAAATACTTTGCAAACAAATGGACGTCATAAAAGAAAGAATTTCAAATCTATCAAAAATTGTTTTTGTTTTTTGCTCCATCAAATTTATATTCTTCTTTTTCTTCGGACTAGCAGCTTCTCTGAAACTTTAGCAGTTTTTGAGGTTCATCTTGTAGAAGTGTTCAGTTATTTGGAAAGATGTAGCGTATATTGAAAGAGATTTGCAGTTGTGAAAGCACTTTCAGTTTCTGCAAGTGCATGTTTTCCTAAGGTAAATTCTTAATCCTTCAAAATCTTTGCTGCCACCATTCTTTTCAAAGAAAGCAGGATGAAGAAGCCCAAGTGTTTATTTTAGGATCGTTAAAGACATGTTTTCATGTCGTAATCACAAACCACGATATATATATACAGTGATGGATGAAGTTCTTTTCAACCATTTAAGTACAAAAAAGTTTTAGAAAGTAAATAACTGTAGCCAAGGGCACACAATCAGGTCACAACTGCTATGAGTGAAAACACAACTATCTAGGTGCTAAATGGACATTTGCGATATACATCTAGGTCTCGAATGCTTCGAAAGCAACGTTGAAGTTAAAGAAATTAAGTTTTATTTGAGAACTGACATTAATATTTTAACAGAGACCTCTACTGTCATACAGATGAAGTTCACTATGAATAATCAGAAACTAAGGGGGACTGAAATAATTATAAAATTCATAAAAAAGATTATGACGACACTAAAGGATGCAGTGGTGACCCTTATGTAAGTTTGTTTTACATCATTAAAATCTTAGACTTTTTTGACGTAATGTATTAATTGTTTAGGCAGAGCGAATGATCATCATAAAATCCTGAAAAATGTAATGATGCACTGGTTATATTAAAATAATTGTTAAACTTTGCCATTTAGTTCACAAATAGATTTGAGTGTATTAAAAAATATCAGCATTCTCGTACCATTCACTTCAGTATTGTGTGCCCCCAGTGGCACAGCGGTATGTCTGCGGACTTACAACGCTAGAATCCGTGTTTCGATACCCGTGGTGGGCAGAGCACAGATAGCCCATTGTGTAGCTTTGTGCTTAATTACAAACAAACAAACCTCAGTACTGTCTACTTAGATCTATGTATGTTCGTGTTTGAATGCCAAAAAGTGTGTAATCTATGAACAAAATTACGAAAATTAACAGACAAGCCAAAATGTCATTTAAAAATCCCGTGAGTAGAAGCCCAGATGTACGTCATAACTTCCATCGAAAACAATGTAAATACTTATTACAATTTGTTTACGTCTAATATTTGTCCACTCTTATTCTTTCCCCATTTTTAATGTTTCTGTGAAGCTTTAAGTTTGTTTATTTCAGAATTTGCACGCAAAGCTATATACAAAGGACTATCTACCCACAGCCGTCCCCAACTTTCAACTTATAAGCTAGAGGGAAAGCAGCTAGCTAGTTAACAGCACCCACAGCCAATTTGTGGACTTTACTTGTCTGATGAAATAATGGATTTGGACCGTCACTTTTATAATGCACCCTTACCTCGAAAGTGCGGAGCGTGTTTGTGTGGCATAGAGATGCGAACTGTGAATCCCCGAATTCACAGCTCGAGCACGCTGACCACTAGGCCACGTGCGGCCCTAAGATTTAAGGCGCGGAAATACTGAACTATGATGAATGTTCCCTGACGAGTAAAGTGCTAATTTCTACTAACTACTAATCTGGAAGAATACGAACTCTTTTACGTCATCATATTTCTGAACGTCATTTTTATTTTAGAATAGGATCAGCTGAACTAGATGTGTATGTACATTTAGCTGCTTTCTCTATTTTGTCTTCCACAATAGTAACACTTATGTCTGTGAATTTATCATTTATATACATACCTCTAATAAGAATTTCATAGAAAATGTAGCTATTTCTGTTTATTGTTATTTTGTACACGCACCAATATTAGCGGTTGCATCAAATTCTTGTTTATGTATGTTGTTGTTGTTTTTTTACTGTGTTCATAAAATAACAACTGCATTTCAAACCAACCAGGCAGATGTTACCCTATACTTGGGAAGTGCAGAATAGTTTGAGCTCTGAGGACTTCCAATGTGTTACTGTAGAATAAACAAGGATTAGTACACTTTCTTCATAACAGAGTCCCTTCCCAGAGGACTCAGATTCGTGTTTAGAAAGGTATACCAAATAAAACGGTAAAGTGCTGAGTCCTCTGGGAAGGGACTCTGTTATGAAGAAAGTGTACTAATCCTTGTTTATTCTACAGTTACACATTGGAAGTCCTGTTCGTGTTTAGAAAGGTATACCAAATAAAACGGTAAAGTGATATGTTTTCAAGTCCACTTGTTTGAATAGCATACACTAATTGTTGCAATGTATTTGTTTGAATAGCATACACTAATTGTTGCAATGTATTTGTTTGAATAGCATACAATAGCTGTATCAGTATATTTACAATTTGAAGAATTGTCTTTTAAACATCAAAACATAATTTGTACCATACAGGAATGGTTGGAAATGTTACACAGACTGTTAATCACATTATTAATGTCATGCATATAGTGCATGTTTTATTGTAATTGTACGTTAATTATAACACATTTAGTCACATAGTTCGTGAAAAATGAAATTTGGATGTGAGTGTTGATATTAAATTTTTGTTCGTTTATCGTACACACAAAACTAAACAGTAGGCTATTTAAGCTCTTTTTACCGCGGGTGGAATCGAACCTCGAAGTTTAGTACTGTAAGAACGTAAACTTATCAATGACCCACCTAGGAGGGAAACAGATATTAAGTAATATTAGTTTTAATATTAATATTAAACTTATAAACTGTCTTATATTATCTATTTTACGTAATATTGATAACAATGTGTATATATACCTATTTCCAAACACAACATCTGCTATCTCCTGATAACGTAACGATGATATAAATATAATAATTAATGTTTATCAATGTTAGGTGTATGACTTATATGTT